TTTTTCTTAAATATATACATGCATGTGTGTGTATTTATATATACATAATAAATATACACCGTACACACACACACACACACACACACTTGTCTACTGTTGCTCTGCGGGTATAAGCTCTGAAATGTCTCTGTAATCCGTGGCAGCTCTGAACCGGCTCAGGCCGAACTGAACCGGTCTGTCTCTCGGCTTACACAGGTTCGATCCTCCCGCGAGCAGCTTTAGCAGCACCTGACCTCAGATCCTCACAAAGCCCGGCGGGAACGCCAGCAGATTAAACACTGATCCCGGGTCAGGCTGCCTGAGCTCAGAGCCAGTTCTCTCCATGAATCATCAGATATCACACAATGCATATTCATACAGAAAACATTTGGTGCTGATCGCAGCTTCACACTTAATTTAAACATCTCATTTTCGAGTGCTCTATGTGTCTATGCAGATTAGATGAATGCACACGGATTGCGAGGAGATTTGTGATGCAGATGAGCCGTTTAAAGGATTCGGGAGGTAAACGTATTAGCAGAACATTAGAAACAAATGTAAAACTGAGAGCTTGATCCGACACGATGCATGTGAGGTGATTTAAATAGAAATGTCTGCTTTATGAGCCATCATACAAAATAAAATAAAAATGAATAACTAAAGAAGAAAAAAAAAGAAAACAAAACAGAGATACAATTTCCCTAATGCAGATCATCAAGACCTATTCACAACTATTATTATTATTATTATTATTATTATTATTATTATTATTATTACCATTATTATTAGCAGCAGCAGCAGCATTTAATCTGAACAGAAATATATTTTCTATGACTGGCACACATACAAAACCAAAAATGTATAACTAAAACAGAACTACAGAGAAAATCTCTCACCAAGAAATCTCAATTCACTCCAAAACAAAATAAATATATTTATATTTTTAATTATATTAATTACTAATACTATTAATACTAATAATCATAATGTATACAATATTAACTATTATTTTTATTATTATTATTATTATTATTAGTAGTAGTAGTAGTAGTAGTAGTAG